AGCGAGTCCAAATTAGTGGAAAACAAGCCTGACATCATTTCCAAATGGCCATTTTAAGCAGAAACAAAATTAAAAAAAAAAAAATCTATTTTTGGCTCTGAAAAATTTTCAAAATCTTGACGCCCATATCTTTGTTAAATTTCGGGCAAGTTGAAAGTAATTATATACCATTGGAAAGAGCATTAAATTCTCTATAAATCCGTGCAAAATTGAGTTTGATAGCTTAGAAAGTTTTTGAGTAATTGAGCCTCAAAGTTGACTTTTAGTCTAAATTTTGTCAAAAACTTCAAACTCAATTTTCTCAAAAACTATAAACCTGGGAATATTGTGAAATACAAGTCATCTAGGGCTTGATAAGAGCTACAAATGCTAAAAATTTGAATGAAATTTGCTCAACGGTTACCCAGCAATTGAGGTTTGAATATTTTGGAATCAGAATTCAAAGGTACTTAGTACCCTTATCAAAAATTCGATTTTTTTATTTTTCAGTTTTTTCCAATTTTGACTATGGCCAAGTGGGTCCAAATAAGTGGAAAACAACCCTGACATCATATCCAAATGACCATTTTAAGCAGAAACAGAAATGAAAAAAAAAACCTGTTTTTGGCTCTGGAAAATTTTCAAAATCTTGTCTTGATCATGAACAATTGCCCATACCTTAGTTGAATTTCAAGCAAATTAAAATAAATTTACACCATTGAAAAGAGAATTAAATTCTCTATAAATCCGTGCATATTTGAGGTCAATAGCTCAAATAGATTTTGAGTAATTGAGCCTCAAAGTTGATTTTTAGTCCAAATTTTGTGAAAAACTTCAAACTCAACTTGCTCATAAACTATAAACCTGAGAATATTGAAAATTACAGGGTTTTTCAAGCTTGTTAAGAGCTACAAATGCTAAATTTTTACCCTGTACCTGTCAACCCCTTAGCAGGGGCGGCAGGTTTCCGCACAATTTCAAATAAAAAAGGGGTTCGAGTGATACAATGTAGGTACTATTTCCTAACTTTTACAAGTTGCCATTTCGGCAGGGCAAACGGTAGCAACTTGAAATTTCGTCGAAATGTAAGTAATTTAAAAAAAAAATTCTATCAAATGACGTATCACCCCTCTTTCTATTTCAAATTTTTGGGGTACCTGTCACCCCCGCCTAAAGGTTGAGAGGTAGGGAAGTAAAAATACCAATAAAATTGTCGAGCGATTTTTGATTAATCACCTAAAACCTGAGGAAACCTGGGTGGGAATTAGGATTTCCGTGCTCCGCCCTGTACCTATACCTATATTATGTATAAGGTGTCCCACGACGTTTTACCCAAGTGATAACTTCGGAACGCGTCATCCAATATAATTGCAATTTTGAGAGGATTTGGCTCGGGATCTGGTTAACTTTTATGCCACTTCCACATGCGTCATCGAATTCTACCACTTTCAGTTCAGTTTCGGTCATGTGACGGCTCCTTTAGAATCTTAAATGTAAATGATGGTATTATATCATTATTGTTAGAAAATAAAGTTACAAAATCGCCAATGCCATATTTGCTAAAGCTCTGTTGAAAAAAATGATAAAAAAAAGTGGAACATTTGATGACGCGTTCTGAAGTTATCACCTGATTAAAACGTCGTAAGACACCCTGTATATACAAAGTGAGGCACGAAAAACTTCCTACTTAAGATTTCTCAGGTGTTGGGTGATTAATCAAAAATCGCTCAACCATTTTATTGGTATTTTCACCCTCTACCTTAACCTGTCAACCCCTAAGCGGGGGTGACAGGTACCTCCAAAGCTTAAAACAGAAAGTGGGTCGAGTGATACGTGATTTGATAGAAATTCTTGCTACTATTTACCCTGCCAAAATTGCGGCTTGTCAAAGTTAGGAAATAGTACATACCTACATTATCACTCGAACCCCGTTTCCATTTGAAATTTTGCGGTCCCTGTCACCCCCGATTAAGGGTTGACATGTACAGTTGTGATATAGACGATGAAAATACCAATAAAATGTGTCCCCCAAAAAACAAAAATTGACGTGTCTGAGCAATTTGTGATTAATCACCTGATACCTGGGACAAGACCTGAAAAAACCTAGGTGGGAAGTTTTTCGTGCCTCATCCTGTATAACAAACAAACTATCTGGCATGTTTTCATTCAAAACCATCAATAAACATCCACTAAAACCTTCAGAAACAAACTTTATCTAACTTCTGGTGTCTTTTGGGGTGTCCACTGGCATCCATTTTGGAAAATCGCCGCCACGGTCGCCGGAGGCAGTTGACCGATGGCTCCACATCCAAATTTGTTCATATTACATTGCTCTATCTGTGTGTCAAATTTGGTACCTTTATCAAAAAGTGCACAATATGTTGAAATATCCTAGCTAAGCTGCCGCATTAGTTTCAATATTTTGAAATCAAAATTCAAAGGGGGCATCCCTATGATTTTTCATAGGAAAAACTCGATTTTTCTTATTTTCCAGTTTTCAATTTTGACTTTACCGATCGATAGAGCGGGTCAAAAACAATCCTCACATAAATTCTTAATGGCCATCTTAAGCTGGAAAAAAATTAAAAAGGACATCCTATTTTTGGGTTTGGAAAATTTTCAAAATCTTGACATGGTCATGAGCAATTGCCCATATCTTTGTTAAACTTTGAGCAAACTAAAATAGATTATGCACCATTGGAAAGAGCATCAAATTCTTTATAAATTTGTGCAAAATTGAATATAATAGCTCAAATAGTTTCTGACCAATTGAGCCTCAAATTTAACTTTTAGTCAGAATTTTGTTAAAAACTTCAAACTCAAGTTGCTCAAAAACTATAAACCTAGGAATATTTTAAATTACAGGCCATTTGAAGCTTAATGAGAGCTACAAATGCTGAAAATTCCAATGCAATTTGCCCAATGGTTACCGACCAATTGAGGTTTGATGATTTTGGAATTAAAATTCAAAACGCCTTATAAAAAAACTCGATTTTTTTATTTTTTAGTTTTTTGCTTCATTTTGATTTTACCAATCGACAGAGCGGGTCAAAATTAGTGAAGAACAATCCTGACATAATTTCCAAATGGCCATTTTAAGCTAGATAAAAATTGAAAAGGAAATCCTATTTTTGGCTCTGGAAAATTTTCAAAATCTTGACATGTCTTGAGCAATTGCCGTTATCTTTGTTAAATTTTGAACAAATTGAAATAAATGATACATCATTGGAAAGAGCAATACATTATCTATAAATCCGTTTAAAATAGAGTTTAATAGCTCAAATAGTTTTTGAGTAATTGAGCATCAAAGTTGATTTTTAGTCCAAATTTTGCCAAAAACTTCAAACTCAATTTGCTCAAAAACCTGGGAATATTTTAAATTAGATGGTTTTTAGAGCTTGTTAAGAGCTACGAATGTTAAAAATTTCAATGCAACGGTTACCGAGCAATTAAGGTTCGAATATTTGGAAATCAGATTTCAAATGAACTGAGATTTTTAGGGATTGTAGTCCTCCACTGGGATAAGAATCGCTGAAAATTTCAGCTTCCTAGTTATAATAGAAAAAAAGTTATGGGTTTTCAAAATTTTTGAAAATCCAAATCATAGGGGTATTTGTTGAAATTTTGCGTTTATGTATATGATCAGTTGGGATCCCTTAAACTCCATACACTAAATTATTCTGAAATTTGAAGCCGAAATCTATGAAAAAAGGCACTCACAACATTGAAAAATTGATAAATTTACCCCAAATTGCTTAAGATGATCTTATTTCTGGAACTATAAGTCCAAATGAGCTCAAAGTTTCAGGGATTGTAGTCTTCCACTGGGATAAGAATTACCGAACATTTCAGCTTTCTATCTTTAACAGAAAAAAGTTATTGGTCTTCAAAGTTGGTACTATAGACAAAAATGGGATCACTAGAGCAAGATCCTGAAGAAAAAAAGAATCCGAAGTTTTAACAAATGAACATTTGCATGAAGAAAGAAGAAACCAAAGATTCTGGAAAGAGAAACGAATTGTGTGTGAATACCTACACGGATGCAAATCTAAATAACATTTAGAAAATAAAATATTGTTCAAATTGGTAAAAGTATATCCGAAGATTGTTTTGTCCACAATTTAACAAACTTGGAATAGGTACTATATCAGGGATTTCGAATGTAAAATAGAACCCATATGACTGCCCTGAGAGAAGAAGAGTTCAATAAATCGTAGAAATATTTAAGAATTAAACTTTATATATCAAATTTTGCATAAAGAACATTACAATAAGTCTCAAAAGGGAAGAAATAAGCTTCTATAACAAACAATAAATTATATGAAAACACCGGAAAACACCCTCAGGATTGAATCATTGAGTCAAACTTTGTAATTTTCTTGTTTCGTAATGGAAAAACTTAAACTTTTTTTAAAAATTGTCGTCTATAAATTTTCATACATTTTTCTATTCCAGTTTTAAAAACAGATCAATGCAAAATGTTTAAATAAGACTGAACAAACTTTACCAAAATTTAAAAATATAGTCTGATGTAAATCAGTAATTATTAAAACAGTTCCAGCATCAGATCTAATTAAATCAATGTTTAACTATTAAATTTCAAGCTCACTGTCCAGAGAATCCTGAATCTAAAATTATATTTCACTAAAAATATAGTCAATGATCTCATCATGCATACAACAAACCCACTGCAGGCTACATTTCAAAAACTAAGACTTTTTTTTTTTCGAAGCAATAATGTACATAAAATATCATAATAATTAGAGCTGACATTTATGGTTGTTTTATGAAAGTTGGCCAAAGAACTAATAGGACTCGCTTTCTATATAGGCTTGGCTTTTATTTACACTTAATCAGAAATTGACTATTTTTTTCAACTCGAGATGAAAAATTAGTGAATTATTATCATTTTCGTTCCGCAACAAAAGATCATAATCGTTACAAAACGCATTTAATTGTTTTGCATAAATACATTCCCACGAAAATCTAGGTTGAAGTAAATTAATATTAATTAGACTCACGTGAGTGAACTGTTGCGAAATCCTAATGTGTTCTTCTTGATAGGCTTTCCGCACTTTACGTTTTTCCGCATATAAAGTGTTTAGGGTGTCTAGGGCTTTGGTTTCTACAATATCGGCATTTTGTTTGATCAGTTTCGATGCGTTTTCCATTTCTTCCATCATCGTTTTCCACGCAGAACATACTACACTACCTGGAAGAAAAAAAATTATCTCAGGATTTTTCCATACAAAGTTGATATACTTAAATAATCTTAAGGATTTTGAACTAGAAAATTCGCGAATGGAATTTGGAGCAATACGAAAAGGAGTTGTAATTTAGTTTTATCACTAGTTAAGCTTGATTGTAGTTAAACCAAGTAGGTAGGTACCGAACAATATTCTTACATCAATCTCTTATTCTTAAGCAAACTGTAACTTCTCCTGGAAACAATAAAAATAGTAATTGAAAAATTCTTAAAACCGATTGTCATCCAGGCACGTTCTTGTACAAAAAAAAAATCAATGTACGTGCCCTCAAAACAAAAGTACAAAATAATTATCATGTAAAATTATTCTTGTCCGCAGCAACCCAAAGCGAAAGACAAATAAAGAAAGTTCACGCACATAATTCTCTAATAAATAAATTCAAGGTGGATTACGACGAATGCAATAAATAACGCAGTACTTATTTCGTATAATGTTGTTTTCCTTCTGGGAACAATTTTTTCCCCGTTTAAAAATTCTACAATCGGTGTGTCGTTAGTACCCGATCGGACAGCGGCCATGTTTTATCGGGTACTAATCGCTTTTACCCATGTCGTTGCACACATTGATCGGTTTTTAATGAATGCTATGGTGTGCGTTTTGTTTTACCGTTTCAATAGTAAAACCTGTAAATAACAGTAGTGATACCCATGTCTGGATTTCTTTAAAAAATATACATATACAAAGGCATATACAAAATAGCTAATCAGCTGAATGTTTGAAGAAAGAGATTTTTTGAGATTAAATGATCCTCATTTTTTTCTTTCATTCCGCGCATTTGAATCCTCATTGTTTTTTTTTTTATTCCTTTTCCTTATTTCTTCACATTCTAGTAAAATGTGTCTATTTTTTATTCTTAGCTAGGCAAAGTTTAGTGATTCCCTGATACTGCAGCTAGTTAGCTTATTGTATCCCTTGCTGTGTGAGTTTCTGCTAAAATAGGTTTAACACCTTCGCCAGGTGCAGTAGCCTCTTTATTGGCGACTTCAGGAGACCTCCTCCTCCTGGACAGTGTTCGTCTACAGATGGGTTCATCTTGGTAGATTCCCATCTTGTGTAGGTGTTTCCTCAGTGTGCACCTTGATATAACTAAGGAAGAAGTCCCACGTGCAGTCTCGTTATCATTTTTACTTCTTAAAGAATGAGGAGAAGAAGAAGAAAGTCTGGGAATATCTTCATCCTCCAAGAGAACTGTAGTATGATGAAAAATTCAAGAATCATGTGGAAAAATTTTACATGAGAGATTACGGTTCTAACGAATACAAATTACGGTATCATGAAGGCCAGAAAATTTATAGTGATGATGTCAGATTTCAATAGAATTTGTTCAAAGGTCGCCATCCGGAATCACAAATTTAGGGAGAGATGGATTCGAAGTTGATGAAGAAAATAAATTGTCGAGTATCGAATATTTTACTAAACTTGAGCAAACCTCAGGTTTTTACCAAATAGAAGTATATTTCCAAAACCACTTTCCCGTAGAAAAGGGCCATTTCGAATTCGTACGTATGCCATTTGGATTAGAAAATGCCCCGTCCACATTCTAAAGAATCATGGGCAATATTCTTCTATATGGATTATGTAGGTACCCATTGCATTGAGAGCATAATAATTTCTAGATAATGTTTAAATGTACAGTGACTGTTTAAGAATCCCGTCACAATTCTGATCTGGTTCCTCGTGAGCTTTAGGATCTCAGAGGCTACTCTTGTCGTAGGATAGTTCACCATTGCCTCACTGTGGTGTTGCCTCGGTATTTGATACCGCCCATAAACTGCCTTTCTGATCTGTCCCTGGTTAAGGAGTCCACGTTTTCATTGCCAGCACCGCCCGTGTGCCTCGGCACCCACACATGAATTACTTGTTATGGCTAACAAGGGTTAAAAGGAGTTGCAGGCAGTCCCACATTAATTTAGAGTTTATCTGTTGACATGCTAGGGCTTTAATAGCTGCTTGGCTGTCTGAGAAGATCGTGATATCCTTATGCATACATATATCCCTTTCTCAGATTTTCCCGCAGGCATATTTCTATTCTATGTATTTCGGCTTGGAATACGGTAGTGTGCTTCCCCAGTGGAGAATACCATTTTGATCTAGGGGATAGGCAATATACTCCGGCACCGGTTCCACTGTCGGGCTTGGAGCCATCAGTGTACCATACTAACTTTCCATTCTGGACTAGTGAGTTTTCTGTTTTGTTTTTCAAGTTAATCTGGGTTTGAAACGGTTTGTATTTATTCTCGGGGTCATGATGTCACCTCCCATCTCAATTAGTGAGTTTGTAACAATGTTTGATATCTTGGTATGCCCGGATGTCCTTCTCAGATTCCAATTCTGGCTACAATTGAGTCTGTAAGCCCCCATTCTTCCCTCAACTTTGATAATGATATGAAGTGGCTAGAGGTTTAGTATGGTTTCTGTGACGGAACTAGCTATTGCCCCTTTTTGGGCTTTAGTCAAATCGCACCAGGGATGCCAAAAGTTTTTACTTTGACTGGCTGTAAAAATTAACCATTAGGTGTTGGATCATTTAAGCCTTGTATTGGATTAGGAGTGCCTTGATGCTCATTTATACAAATAAAACGCTGAAATAGAATAGTTATCAATTTAAATAATAACTGAAAGTAATTCGGTATGGTTATCAATCAAATCCTATCTAAAAATTCCTAATTGTACATCCAGTCAAACTATGAATTTTATACTAATCTTAAATAAGTTTTCTAAAGTAAAGTAGGTATCTTGATTTATAAAAAGTAGGGAAATCTGATAATGATAATTATATCATTTTTGGTTAAATGTTCAATGAACGAGAACACAAATTAACTAATTAAATGCACGAGAGCACAACATAAATAATTCGTCAACTTCAATCAGTTCACTGCAATCACAAAATGTTTATTGATCCTTGAAAGTTCTTTTATTTATTGAGAGTTAACAATTTGAGCACTTTTCTGCTGAAGTCTGTAAACAATATGTGCAAGAAAAATGTATGCTCAGTTTCTATATGCAAATGTACAAATGGTAATTTCACGAGTGTGAAAACCAAATTTCTGCATTAAAGGTTAGAAAACACGTCAATTTATAGTGCATTTCAAGCGAATCACGAATCAGTATTTATTGTTCGACTGTTAGAGAAATTGTAACGGTCTTACTTGCTCAAACCAGTTCATACAGATAAATCCACAAGGCGACTATTTATCCATTTATCACCACTATTCACATTGGCAGCTAGGGAATTTTCCACTGAGATGAAAAGAAAACACAATGATATACAGGAGCGTTGGAGCCCGGCGAGAGTGAGAGAGATAATAGAGAGATAGAGCCAAAAACAAGCGTAGGAGAGAATTTTGCTCGTCCGAGGTGACTTGCAACAATTAGGGGTTCATTGTTGAATTGTAATCAATAATATAGACCATGTCAGGCCTCGAGACACAGAGAGTAGTATTTTACTATAAATCGCGCGTACTAACGGGGGTTTTGGGGGGTTTTGGTCCTGCAGAGCATTCAGAGGGCGCGAGGGGGTGCGAACTCTTCATCGCTTGTTCTAATAGTACTGAAGAATGTGCGTTGACTAGACTCTGCCAGGAGAGCAGGTCGCAAAAATCTAGAAAACAATGTGGCGGTTGACCAATCACAGCAGCGAGAAAGGTCCACTGCCTTATAAGGTAATGAAGAAACCTGTAATTTTATTGGTTCAAAGGTTTGTCGTTGCCGGTTTTACAAGATAAATAGTCCAGTGATAGCATCTATTTTTAAAATATTATTTTTATGGTAAATAATATAGAAGAAAATTATATTAAATTAGAAATAATAAAAATTAAACCTGTTGTGGGTTATTTCCGCAACAGTTTCCATTGTAGCAGTTGGAGTGCTTCTCATTATACCCATTGTGTGACTTTTTCGGGTAGGTGAGTGTGCAATAGAATCTGCAGAGTTTCTCGTCTAGAATCCGTGTAGGTAGGTGCCATTTGATTTTTTGAGGGTCCGAACTGGATTTAACGGATCCTTGGATAGAATATTTCGGAGTCTCGCTGCTACCTTGGTATTTTCAACCTTTTAGCTCCATGATTCGATTTTTGCCTTCCGCATCTGACTATTATACATGGTTAAGGTGGAGTGGTAGTCGACCCACCTGCCTGTTTTTTTCGCTCAGTTGTACAGCTTGCGTGTATCCGTCCTGAGATCTGAAAGTTGTTTGTTCCACCAGGAGGTATCTTTTCTGGAGTTTTGCTTTCTCAGGGGACAGTTGTTCTGATAAGAGGTTATTATAGGGTCCTGTAGTTTACAAGCTGCCAATTCTATATCAGTGGCGTTTTTAATATCCGTTTTGACCTGGTTGCAGTTAGTAAACAGACCTTTCACATATCCCTCCCAGTTCGTCCTCATCGGATCACCAAAGTGCTCTGCTGGTTTCTCATCTTGTGAAATTTCCATGCCTGTAAGATAGGGACGATTCTCCTGACGCGGGTCAAGAGGTTATCTGGGCTTATACGGGGAGAAGGCTGGTTTTGCTTAGGTATGTTTTTATTAGGAGAAAAAAGTTCAAGAGCCTGAAATAGAGAAAATTTGATTCCTTCTTTCGAATTTTCCTTATTTCTTCATTTTAGTGATTGTTTTTGTTTCTAGCTCTTGAATTTTCTTAATTTCCTTCATTTAGGCTTTCGATATTTTTAAATTTCACGCTCCAATTTTATTTATTTTTGTTCCTGGGTTTCTCTTATGTTTTCATTAAACAAAAATTCTAAAGCCTAGAATAGACAAGAATGAGAAATGTACAATAAAACTCTTGAATTTTCCTTATTTTTATTCCTGGCTCTTTTGATATTTTGATTTTAAATTGAATTTCATGTAGGTATACAGGGTGTATCAGGTATGAGTATAAATATTTTAACATGAGATAATATGGCCCATTTCAAGCTAAAAGTGTCCTATTAACCATGGGTCAATT